TGTGGGTGGGTGTGGGTGGGGTGTGGGTGTGGATGTGGGTGTGGGTGGATGAGGTGTGGGTGTGGGTGTGGGTGCGGGTGTGGATTGGGGCGTGGGTGGGTGGGTCTGGGTGTGGGTGTGTCAATATGAGTGTTAGTGGGAAGAGAATCCACACCCACCCACACCCACACTCACACCCACACCCACACCCACCCACACCCACACCCACACCCTCCCACACCCACACCCACACCCCACCCCACACCCACCCACACCCACACCCACACCCACCCACACCCACACCCTTTTTCGTTGTTCTTCTTCTTTTAGTCATCATTATTTGTCGTTATACAGTGAGTAATGTTTTTTTCTTTTTTTGAGTTTGAAAGTAGGGCACACTAAGATAGTTGAGTTAGTTAGTAAGAGGGTGAGTTGTGTCCGTTGAGATTTAGGTTCACTTTCTATGAAGGACCTCCGGACAGTTCCTAAAAGCCCGGCCAGGACCATTCTGGTGACCGTAGAAGCACGATTGGGCTTCTATACTCACTGACACGTGTTACCGTGTGGGTACATGTGGACGACGCGAGTCTTCCCAGGCGTGTATGAGCAGTATGCTCGTTACGGTACCTCCAGGATGGTTCCTGGTTGCGCGCCCGAATAGAACAGACAGGAAAAAAAAACTTGTTTCAATCAATCAACGTAAATTTATTTCAAAGCGACAGGAAAGAAAACAAATTTCACTCGCATTCAGTTTATTCGATATCAAAACGTTGAACGCGATTATTGTTACAATCGGCGACATAGAGATTACCATGTCGATCGAAGGACAAACCAACGGGACAGCTGAACTGATTTGCTTCTTCTCCGTAACCATTTCCGCCCACAATGACAATGCCTTGTTTCGTTCCTTTAGGGCAACGCATCACTCGTTTATTATATGAGTCTGTCACATAGATGGTACCCAATGTATCGACAAACAGTCCGTTAGGATGATGTAATTGTGTCAGAGCATCTCCTTCACCTTGACCTCCAGCAACGATAATTCCTTCTTTTGCACCTTTATTCCATTTCATGACACGATGATTTTCTCTGTCTGACACGTAGACAGACTGTTGTTGATCGACAAAGATGTAGGTCGGAAAGTTGAGTTGATTGAGACCAGCACCTTTGCTATTTCCACCAGCAACGAGAATTCCATTCTTGTCTCCTATTTTATATCGTCTTACTTCATTTTTATTGGTATCAGAGATGTAGAGATTTCTCTGATCATTCATGAACAATCCAAAACACTTGATGTTGTCGATGAGAATTTCTCCTTGAGTTGTGCCACTAAGACGAGACCATCGTACAACTCGTCCATTTACCCAATCACAAATAATGAGACAATCCATCTCTTTGTCGATTAACACATGGGTTGGACCATTTAATTGATCCAATCGATTTCCTTGTTGATTTCCACCAGCTACAACTTGTCCATTCGTATTACCTATTTTCCATTCCATGATACGATGATTGAAACAGTCAGCGATGACTATCATTTGATCACCATCAACGAAGAGACCGAAAGGACCATAGAGTTGATTGGTAGCATTGCCTGCTCCATGACCTCCAGCAACGGTAACTCCATTCCGTTTCCATCTAGCATTGATTGGAATATTAGAAATCCCTACAATGAATAAAAAAAGAAAATAAATCGTTATTGTTATCAAAGAGAGAATGCTAATCGTTTCAGAATTTCTGTTTAGGAATCTACAGGAAAGTTATTTCTGTGAATGAAATATAGTGAAATTTTTTATTTTATTGCATTATATGCTGTTAGAATAGACATTTCTTATTAAAATTATATTAATTAAAGAATATAAGAATAGAATATATAAGTCTTGATTGTGATGGGAGAAAAGGTTGAAGATTATTATAAGTAACATATTTACTTAGGGCAATCGAAAAGTAGTGAGGGAAGTACCTTATTTCCTCA